TGACAGAGGTTAATCTCAGCCCTCCTGCAGCTTAGCCTCTGATGAGTTAACCCAAGTAATGAAGAAGAACAATCAGTCAACAAACAAGATGATGTGGATGGTGTCATGTGCTGTGAACACATCCAATCAGGGTGATGGGAAGGGAGTGAGGCGGGCTGTACACCTGCTTCACATGGATGGTCAGGGAGGGCAATCCTGAGGAGGGGCCATTAGCCCTGAGACTGAGTGACACAGAGAAGCCAGGAGATCTGGCAGAAGGGCATTCCAGGCTGCGTGGACCTAACCACACTGGGCACTGTGGGTCTTGGAAGAAGTTTGGCTTCCACTGTAGGGACAGTGGGGGCCACAGAAAGCTGTTTGCTCAGGGAATGACAAGGTCATACACTGCTCAGAAAGATGACTCTGGCTGCAGAGTGGAGGCCGAGGAGAAGCAGGGAGACCTCTTATGAGACATGTTTTACTTTACAATTTGCCAAATCTGTGACATCAGTTTCCACTACAGTGAAACAAGAGAGCGTCAGGCAAGGTCAGTGATTTCTAAGAGTACTTCCAGCACTTAAAAGTAAAAGACGTGATTTCGTGTAGCTGGTGACCATTTTTAAAAAGGTGTCTAAGCTTCTCAGAAAACACAGGGCTCAAGCCTCATTGCTCTCTGTATTCCCAGCGCACCGCCCGGCACCTCGAGGGCCCAGCAAAGGAACACAGTGCATGCTGGAGCCTGTGGGGAGTGTCATCAGTCCTCAGGGACAGTTTCCTCTGTGCTTCCTTGGGAACTCACCTGCCGCGGCCTTTGTCCTGAAGGCAACAGGAAGCCACTGAAGGCTTTCCAGCAAAGCCGACTTCTGCATGTAGGAAGCTCACTCAGGCAGTGAGGAAGAGGTCTGCAGGGGGCCAGGTGTGGGAGCAGAGAGACAGAGACATTGTTTTCCTAGAGAATCCCCCTGGGCTGTGACTTTTCGAGGGAGCCCACCAATGACAGGAGCGACCTGCCTGTGGGAATGGGCTACCTCGGCACAAAACCACCTTTACTGGGGGCTGCAAATGCCGGGAGAGGAGAAAGTGCGAGACTCCACCTATTTATAGTTGGGGGAAATGAGGCACAAAGAGACAAAATGACTCATGTGCCAAGGATTTCTGACTTCAGGGCCTCCTCTCAGCTAATGTGAAAAGCAGACTCCACTTAGCGTGTCATCCACGGAGGGGGAGGGGCTTGGGCTGTGCCAGATGGAAAGGAGCGTTGGGGTGGGGTGGGGTGGGAAAGGGGGAGACAAGTATCCCCAGCAGAAACCGTGACAAATGCTCCAATACCTTCATTTGACACTCCCATAATCCAAGACGGGCTAAAATTGGCTGTAGAGCTTGTGTTATGAAACCAGAGCAGATCAAACAAAAGAAATAAGCACAATTTGAGTCAGCCAGATAATAATCCTTGTGGAGTACATGCAAATCCAAGCAAAAATAGATCTGAGATACTTTCCCAAGAGACACAGAGCCTGGAGATCCTGGGACCAAACCCTTCACGTGAACGACGGGGAGGGGCAGTGCCCCACCCTGGAGATGGACAGTGAGTTTGCCTGCAGAGCCCGGGCGGGGACAAGGACCCAGCTCTCCCCGTGCCGAGGTCAGGGCTCATCTGACTCCTTCACAACCAGTTCTGCATCTAACTCTGTTTGCCAAACCTACGGACAGGCAGGAGGGCAGGGGGCCATTACAGTGAGCTCAGAGCAGCTGGTGTGTACCGTGTGTTGCCGTGTACACACACAGCTTTAGTTTGGTGAGGTCTTTTCTCATTAAGTAGTGTGGGCCATTAGTATGACTTAAATATCTGCATTCACCACTCCAATTCAGAGGCACAACTTCCGGAACCTAACAGCATCTGCAGCACCTCCCTGCCCCCCGTATCTTACAGATGAGGATGGAATCCAGGAATGATGAGGCTGCTGTCACTGAAATCAAACCGGGTGACCCAGGTCCAGTGCTCTTTGTAGACTGCAGAAAGGAAAGCAGTGTTCTTTAATGCATATGCCTTACTCTCTGTTCTCAAGCACAGTCTCAAAAGGAAGGTAGGAGGGAGATAGACAATCTCCACCTTGTCACTTTGGCTGTGACCTGACATCTCAGCACCCTGATTAGTAAATTTCTAAAGAGGAGCTTTAACTTCTTTGATGGTTTTTGCCACCCTCACCATCATACTCATAGTTATGCATTAAATAAACATTTACTGAATGTCCACTCTGATGGGTGGACATTCTTATAATCTCTTCTAATTTTCCTAATACCATGATGTAGTGTCATCACTCCTGTGTTTTCCACAGAGGGAAACACAGACATTTATCCATGTCATAGACTTAGGACAGGGTAGAGCAGGGATCAGACTTTCTGTTGACTTATGTTATGCCGAGCGCCACACGTGTGGTGATCTGGACCACCCCGCAGACACTGCGTGGCACAGTCTCACAGTCCTAGAGGATCCCAGCCTCTTCTGGGCTGCTGAGCACAACTGTGAGCTCCCTGTTACCCTCCCAGAGGCTCGGGGTGGGATTCCCGGCAGCCAAGCCCCGTGGTCGCTGGGGGAGGCTGTGCAGAGGCCCAGAGCGGAGCTAAGATCATTCACTTGTAAGGACTGATCTCCTTGAGGGGTTTGGCCTATACATGTAAAGGGAACACAGCAACAGTGAATCCAGAAGGGATGGACTCAGACTGCAGAAAATAAAATAGAATATGGGACACAGTTTTAAAGAAAGTTTGCTGGTGGAAGCCCCTCTGTGTTTTGTGGGCACACACCTGTCAGAACAGACCCTGAGAATTGCCTACACAGAACCAGAATCCCTGCTGGCATTTCATTTCTGCTTTAATGTCTACAGAAACAGGAAGCAGATTATCTTTCAGGCTATTGTAATTTTTAGAAAGTTCTAGTCTTCATCTGTCACCCAGACGTATCCATGCATTGGGCCCAGAGCTGCCCTTTTGTTTGCAAAAACTAAATCCGCTTCCTCCCAGCGGCATTCTGGATAATTTGCAGACGACTTTCACTTTTTATTCCCGTGTCCCTCCATGTGTGCTGAGCAGAGCAGGGAAGCTTGCACGAAGTTAATCGGTGTCCTCTCTAAAACAAACACGTGAAAACAAACAGACAAAAGCCCATAAATAGCGCTCTGTGGGCATGCTAGGTTAACGCAGGTCAGCCAGGTACGTTTCCTGCAAGGCTGTTCAGAGGCTGCTGTGCTGCTGCTGCAGAGCGTGAGCTTCGGCCTGGAAAACACTGGCTGTGCGAAGTTCCCAACCTTTGGCCTCTCACGCTTTTGTGCTCTCACCTTCTTTTCTCCCAATGTACCTTTTAACATTTTCCATATATACCGTCAGAAACACTGGAAAGGGCTTCCTGACACAAATCGAGGTTCTCATTATCATTGTCTCTAAGCTTAAAAGTCAGGCTCCCCCAACTCTTTATTTCAAGATAAACTGTCAGGCTTTCTTTCAATCTTCACTCTTGTAGGACTGTTGTAATGAAATACAGGATGCTCAGTTACATTTGAATTTCAGATAAACGATCTTTCTTTTGGTATAAGTATCTTCCATGTAATATTTGGAGGATACTTATGTGAAAAAAAAGTTGTTGCTTATCCGAAATTCAAATGTAAATGGATGGCCTACATTTTAATTTGCTAAATCTGGCAAACCTAGAAGGGCCAACCTTCTTCCCTTAAAAAATGTGGACCTCAGAACTGGACACAGTTCCCAGCCATGTTTTTAAAAGGAACTAATAACATTTTTATGAATGGTTAGTGGCCAGTCTGATGTTGACAGATAGCAGATAGCTTTCTGGATCCACTGGCAAAATCCAGACATACCTTTTAATATTTTTTCAGCCCTTAACCGTTGTTCATAAGTATGTGTTAGTATTAGCAAGCTGCACCCAAACACCATTTGTAATTCCCTTTCATTGTCTGTCTTCTCCATGAAACTGTAAGAAACTAAACAAAGGGGTCAACCATGCCCTGGCTGGGTGGCTCAGTTGGTTGGAGCATTGTCCCATTCACCTAAAGGTTGTGGGTTCGATTCCTAGTCAGAACGTATACCTTGGTTGCTGGTTTGATCCCTGGTTGGTACCCAAGTGGGAGGCAACCAACAGACGTTTCTCTCTCTCTCTAAAAATCAATAAATACATCCTTGGATGAGTATTTAAAAAATAGGGGCCAGCTGTGTCTACTTTGGTCATGGTTGTACCCCAGGCAGTTAGCACTGGCATGTACACGTGTTCAAAGATCTTTTGAACAAATGAGTACATGAATTACTCACACTTTGGAAAGCTAAGGAAACCAGATAAGCTGACCCTCCAAGAAGAAGAGATTGTCAATGGGAGCCTTCCTCACCGTCGGGATCTGTCATCTTCCCCAAGCTTTCCCAGACCCACAGAATCCTGTTCACTTGCACCGAAGCCAATTCCGTTGGAAGATATGTGTGCAAAACAAGAACATCTAATTGCTATGACTAAAATAAAACATTTCAACCAAACACGAGCCATTTTCCAGAAGTTAAAATACTTCTTGGAGCCTGCAATTTTTATCGAGGTGTGGAACTTGGCCCTCCGAAGCAGGCTGGCCTGTGCCCAGTGGGTGTGGGATTGGGGCAGATCACACTGGGTTTTCCCACCGAAACATCCTGGTCTGGGAGGAGCTGGGCAAGGTGAACAAAGACAGCCTCAGTGGCGGGGCAGGTACAGGAAGCAGGGCACAGGGCTCCACAGCTCTGACCTGGTGAACATGCATCTGGTGTCCGGCACGTGCATGGAGCCAGAAAGGCTTGGGCCTTTGCTCTTAGTCATGGTTGGTAGAGCTGGACACTGCCCACTCCTCATGTGAGCTCACCAGTGTTCACAGCTCGTTCCCATCCTGGGGACTCTCCTTGGGCAGGCAATTACTTATCTGCAGCTTGACAACCGTGGCTTCAGTGATGGGAGCAGTGTTAACTATGAATTTATCTATAAGACAAAATGCAGCAGGGAGCAGAGAAGTACAGTGAGAACAGCACCAGGTCCTAGGAGGGTAGCAGAGTGTAGGCAAATTTGTGTTGTTTCTCAAGGATAAGTATGAAGACCAAGTTCAAGTCCTACCCCAGTCATGTGTTAGCTCCATGCCCTTAAGCAAGACTTTTAACCTAAGTATTTTTATCTGCAAAATGGGAACAACTGGGCTGACCTCAGGGCTGTGAGGATGAGATGAGGCGGCAGATTTAAAAGCCCTCTGGGACCTGCCGAGGGCAGGATCGATGGGAGAGGTAGTTACGACACAGTGTCCCCTGGAGCGCAGAGCTCCGGCTAGAAGGATCTGGCAGGTCGCTGCCGAGATAGCACAAAATAGCACCCAACTGGGAGAAAAGAAGGATATTCCTTACACAGCCTGAAGCAAAATAAAAAGAGCTTCCAATTACATTATATAATTTCTTTTAATTATGGAAGAAAACATTCGCCAAGCACACGTTTGAAAACATACGCTCTCAGTGGGTGGGAGCCTTTGGACTCTGAAAAAATCCCTCAGGAACGTCTTTACGGCCCTGACATGGGAGGCCATCGGTGAGCCTTCAGTTTGGCATGAATGTTCCTATTGATTTCCTTGGAGTCTGTTGCTGGCCCTGGCCAAGGCCTTTGCTTGGCTGGTAAACAGGAGCCAAATGTACACAAGCATAGTTCTAATTCATTGGAAGAAAAATAATGCACGGTGTTGTGGCTGATAAATTCCTTGCTACTTCCCCTGCTGTGAGATGCTACACCCACTGGAGGAAAATTTGTTCATGTGTCAATATGTGTGTACATGAGCTTACGGTGCCAAGACAGCAAGGGTCAGAGCCGGGCATTGTGCCCGAAGAAGGCTTTCCTGCCGGGCTTTGTCTGTTTCTTCCTCCAGTGTCGCATTCCCTGCAGCAGTCACTTAGGGAGCATACTGCTTCAAGTCCCACCGTAGTCCCCACCAGGACCTGCGGACCTCGGATTCCCTGTCCTTATGTTTACTTCTCAGCATTGCCAACTCACTGCAAAGAGCACTGCAGGCCTGGAGCCGGGCAGAGGTTCTGCTGACCACTCCGGGAGGGCACAAGGCGATCTTTATGCAACCCGACCTGCCCCTCCGCCCCTCAGCGCCTGGGCCAGGAATAGTCAATGATCGTGTTCTGGAAGAAACCCCACCTTGTCACTGGGTGCCCTGAGCCAAGAGGAGAGGAGCAGGGCTGAAGGCACACGCATGAGGCCAGCTGCAAAGCCCGGAGCTGCGAAGTCACAGGGCTTGGCCCCGAGCACCACTTCCCCAGTCCCGCCCCAGAGACAGGCCTAGTCCTGATGGTGCCCTGTGAGGAGGGTGTCTGCCGGCCTCCCCACGCCCACTGGGTTTATATATACCACGCATATAAATACCTGTGGGTGTGTTCACAGAAGCAGGGTTTGCAGGTGAGTATGATATGTAAATATGCATTTCTAAGAAACACACAAGTGTGTCTGTGAAGCCACATGTGTGCACTGATCTGCGCGAGGATGCTCTGCATGAGCAGGCACACCTTCGGAGACAGTCTTCAAATACACATCTGACCTCTGCCGTAAACATATCAATGGCTTCTACATGTTCTCAGGATGAAGACTTTAACGGGGCCCACACGGCCCTTCAGTGTGACCCCTGCTTCCTTAGGCGCCGCCCTGCTGTGCTCTCCCTCTACCCGCCAGCTGCCCTGGCTGTCCTTCGCTCAGGCCTTCCTGTGCACCAGGCTTCCTTTCAGCACAGGACGTTCGCACCTGCTTTTCTCCCCGAGCGGCCTGTTCTTCTCTCCTCCCTAGCTTTCCTTTAGCTCTCAGCTGAAACCTCCCTTCTTTGGGAGAACCTTCACTGAGCTCTCCCTATTAGTCAGATGTCCTCAAAATACCCCCTATCTCCTCCACAGCACCGACCACAGTTGTAATTTTGCATGCATTTCACACACCGACTCAGTAAAAGCAAAGGTAAACTGTTTTTGTTCACCCACTGCTCCTCAGCATCGCACAGGTCCTGGCACAAAAAAGCACAGAGACACGTATTGAGGCAAGGGGGCATATGCTTGCCGAGGAAGAGGGGTCAGTATATGAGCCTGACCTGAGGTAGCAGTGGGACCGTGACTATTTGACACAGCATGTTTGCTGGTTTGGAGCACAGCGGTGTGCTTAGGAACCCTCATGTACGGATTTATCTCAGAGAGAATGGCTAGATCTGCGTGTGTCAGTGTCCTACAGGTGTGTATGTATTTGTGTGGGAGTAGACACAAAAGACCCTTTAAGTGAGCATATATCTCCGTGAAAATGCATGCGTGTATCTGTGTCAATATGGGTGTTGTCATCAATGTCAAGGTCTCTGTGTGTGTGTGTGTGTGTTTTTGGGTGTGTGCATCTGTGGAGGTGTGTGAATATGTATGAGTAATGCTCTTCTCTGCAACTGGGCGGGTCCCCCTTCAGATTTCTAAGTAGGAGGGTTATGTACATTAGGCAAATTGGTTCACGTAGACCTTAGTCTGATCTGCCTTAACCAAGGCGAGTGTCCAGGAGCAAAGGGCACTGGACAAGGAGCCTGTCACCGGGGCAAAATCCCCCTTCCTGCCTGTGCTGCTGCTTCCTGGTCTCCATGCAGAGGCTCCGGGGCCCAGTGACCTCAATGCTAGTATGAGGCAAAACTGTGGATTTTCAATCAAGAGTCTAATTGCTCAAGATAATTCTCACCTTGCTTTTTTATAGTAATGCTGCATTTATAAATTGTTTTCATCTACACTGTTTTATTTGATAAGACAGGAAAATTAAGGTTCTGTTTACTTGACAGCATCGTTATTTTCGTGAATGCATACAGCTCTGCGGGACCTCTTTTCACGTGCCTACATCCTATAATTTGTGCTCCTGAGCGGGGAAGGGCGGGGAGGAAGATGGTGTGACTTCTAGGTCCCCGAATGCGATCATCCTCAGAGCACCTGCCTCACGGTCCCCTAGAGGAAGTTGTGGCAAAACGCAATCACCGGCCCTCAACCACAGCCTGCTAGATCAGAATCTGGGGGGTGGGGGAAGGGGCCCCAGGAGGATGCATTTTCTCAGAAGTTCCCTCAAATCAGCGGGTTGGGACCCACTGCCATAAAATAAAATAATATCAGGAAACTCACACCAAAATTGATTCCACTAACCCTTCCACAGTCCCATAGAAAGAGGTTTCGAAGGCTGGCCCCCCAGGCCCTAGAGGCTGAACCTTGGTTCTCTTATGCTGAGGAAGCCAGGTGAGCATGCGGGTTGAGAGGAGACGTTGTGGGATCTTGCACAAGAACGGGAGTCTGAATGTTTGTGTGAAAGAACAGGCTTACTGGTGCAATACATCTCACCAGAACAGCGAGTACCTCTCAAACAAAACAAAACAAAACAAAACAAAACGAAATGAAACAAAACAAAACAAAAAAACAGGATTGTCTGCAATATTTAGAAACGTCTAATAGGCCTTTTATGGAGAGAACAACTGGGCCATAGAATAGAGACAGAACTGGGATAATGAGGGAATCTCCCCAGAAAAGGCAGCTGTGGCTTTTGGACGCAAGGCCGCGGGCTGCAACATCAGTGCGGTGTGGTTGAAAGGAAAACAGGGCTCCCTGGGACTCCGCTCGGGCTTTGTCATGGGCGTCACTGCTGAGATTTAAAAAAAATTGTTTTCGCTTCTTAGATAAATGAACACATTAGAAACTCCAGTCTTCCCCTCACAGCACTGGAAAAATAATAATGAAACAAGCAGAAGAGACAGTCCTCTGCTAGTCCCTGAACTACCTTGTGGTTGACCCTGCCTCCTGTGGCTGGGTTTCTAGGTCAGTGCCGCTCCAAGGGGTGATGGGCTCGATCGCTGCCCCTCTCGTCCTGATAATATCTAACGTGAAACCTCAGGTGCTGGCACAGGCCTGGGCAGGGAAATGGGAAAAGCGCCCCATATCTAGATGTCAAGGGTTTTCTGACTCAAAAGTAGTGATTTGACTCAGAGCAAACCAGTGTTGTGTTACCAGGAGCCTTCCTCTGCTTCCTCCTTCTCCCGGGCAGCTCAGCCCCACCGAGCTCAATCGTGAAGAGGGTTGGCGTGCTGCCAGCTCGCAGGGCCACCTGGGTTCCTAGTTTCTGCTTAGCCACAGCCTACCTAACTGGCACAGGCTTTCGCCTTATTTCCAAGCTCAGAAGTTAATCAGGCCTCTCTGGGAGGAAAAAAAAAATCCCTGGTGAATCCACAAAATGTACCCATTAGAAAAGTCCTCTCAGCGTGGTCTCTCTCCTTCTCTTGATCTGACCCCTAAGCATAGGGCCCCTGGTCCAGTACACCTGGGTTTACTCCACTGGGCTCTGGAATCTTCAGCAACTTAACCCCTTCGAGTTTTAGTTTCCTTTTCTATACGATAGGAGCAAGCACAATCATTGGCCATTATTATCGCAAGAGGTGCCCTATGAAATAGAAACCTGCTCTTGCATTTTTCCAGTGGTAGGTATTGGCCACCAAGTAATTTGAATAGGCTTATTTTAATACCAGTCCATAGGCTGGGGCAGAGGCACGTAACCAGGCAGACAGAGCCCTGCCCTGGGGGTTCCCCCGTGAACTGCTTTTAAAGTCAGAGCCCAGGTGCAGAGAGCACGCTTTCAAAGGCCCAAGTATAGAAACTTCTTTTCATCCATTAGCAAGGGGCGGGGAGCAAGCACTCTGGTTAATTTGTAAAACGTATCTCTGTAACCTTGTTCCTCAAAATGTGGTCCAGGCATCACCTCTGTTGGAGAAACCTGGTGAAATTGCTAAAATGCAGATTTTTGGGCCCCAGCTCAGATCTCCCAAGCTGCAGGCTCTGGGGGTCCAGACTCTTTTGTGCCCCTAAAACTTGAAAACTGCTGACCATTGTATACTGCTCAGCCAATAGATCAGAAGGAAGTATGATATCTGGATCATATTATGCATAAAATATATACAAGGAGGCATGTAAAAGTGTTAGCAGTGAGTTAAAAATTCTATGAATAATCTAGTAATTCCATTTTTATTTAAAAATATATTTTCACACACTGGATAGCCACGCTCAGGACAATGACTGGGCCCATGTGCGTCCCAGCGACAATGGTTGTATCTGGCTGGTAACGTTATGTGTGATTTAGCTCATTTTGTGCTATCATAATTTTTTTAAAAAAAACGGCCTATAATGAGTTCTATTACTTTTTTAACAAGAAAAAAAGTGTGCTTTTAAAATAAAAGCAATGCAGCCAGATGCACAGCCCTGAAGACTTCCTGAAATCTTACCGAATGTTGGAGAAAGAAGGAAACGCAGGACACGTGTCAACCACATTATTTCTCATAAGAGATGGTGCAGATCAGGGCAAGCAGGTCGCTGATTAGTGGCTGGGCTAAGCCAGACCCTGCATCTCCAGGCTCTTAGACCAGAGGGCTCTGCAGTGCTTGGTGCTGGCCAGGGACCTGCCTCCCTTCCTTCCAGGCCTGTGAGGGTGACGGAAACACCACAGGAAGTGCAATGATTTTGAGGGTGGGGTAGGATGTAATAGCCTTTGCAGAGCGGACTCGGCAGCCTTCATTATTCTCTCTCTGGGAGTTAGTAGGTCATTTGCAAAAGGCATGGGAAGAGCAGCTGATGAAAAGGTCTAATAGTTTGGAAAACTGCTTAACCTTACTGCTCTATTTCTGGATTTCCACCAGGGCCAAGGACTTTTGAGATCCTGATTTCCCTCAGAGGTTTTCCTGTTTAGGAATGCAGTGAAACCTCTGAAATGCAACTGAATTGGGGAGAAGGCTAGCTGGGATCAGGGGATGGTCTGAATACTTTTTAAAAACACTCAGGTCTATTGTTTTCAAAAACACAGAATCAGAGATTTGGAAGGAGCTTAGTCCAACTCCCGCTCTGTGCAAAAACTCTGTGTGCTTCATTCTGCACAGAACTTCATTTGGGCTTCCTTGAATGCTCCCGATGACAGGAGGCTCACTATTCTGTCGGGTAACCTCTTCCACTCTTAGAAAAGTCTTTCCTTGACCTGTGCTGAACTGTACCTTCCTGCAAGGTTCTGCTTGCCTTCTAGTTTTTGCATAGAAATGATAAGCCTTCTTCCTCCAATGGTTTTAAAATAGCTAAAGGCAGTTATCATGCACCAAATAGTCCTTTTTGCAAGCTAACCACCGCCAGGATATTCCACCCTTATTTGTATGACAAATGCCATCAACTCTAATTAGAAATATAAACTGCTGTTTCCACTTAGCCTCTATCTATCTATCTATCTATCTATCTATCTATCTATCTTCAGAGAGCTTAGAGACCACCTACTTGCACTGGCCCCATTATTTTACAGATCCAGGCCTCTTTCTACCTTATCCTGCCTCCTATTATTCATAAGGCACCCATACTTCTCCGGTTCTTGAAAGTGCTTGGGAAGTTTGTTCTCTTAGGTATGTCAAAAATCCCTCCTTCACATTATATTTGCACTGCCAGTGAAGTAGGGACTGGTACAGAGCTGAATTTAGTAGATGTTATATTGTCAGTGAAAAGTCTCATTCCAAGTGCTTCCGCCCTCCTTGCTCTTTGCTGACTGTCCTAAGATCATCTATATCCCTTGTCTCCAATGATAGTTCGAAGGGACAGCACACCTATAGGGGGGCCTCGTAGGCCTGCCACATTCTCCTTAAGGTTCAGCTCACTGCTCCATTTAGGAGACCTTCCTAACTCTGCAACCCAGCATTTGTTTCTGCTTGCTCCTGCGCTTGTGTAAAGCTTTCGCATCCTCTTTTCAGTGTGGACTGATTTTCTGAAAAGACAAAGCAAAGACTCAGAAGAGCAAACCAGGCATTTCAGTGGCCGGTTTCCTGTCCCCACTCCTCGGCAGCCATGCAGTCACATGCTTCAGAGGGAACATTCCTCCGTGCCCAAACCACAGCACTCTCCCTCTTCTCTCAACAAGGCATTGCATGTCTAGTTCTTACACTTGCTCTGGCACTGATTGGAAGCTGCCTCCAGCTGCTTCCTGGTTTGCATGTGTGCTAGGTAGGCCCCATGGGTGCTGGGCTCGCATGGACCTGAGTTCCCATCCTGACCCTGCAGCTGGACAGCTGTGTGGCTTTGGAAAGTCACCTAAGCTTTCTGAGCCTCAGTTTTCCCAGTTGTTAGATGAAGGCAATTATGCTACCTACATCAAAAGGCTTTCAAGAAGACATAACACCTAACAGGTGCCTAGCACAGTCCCTAACATTTAGTAAGATTCCATACAAGAGATCTGTTTAATATTAGTAATAAGATGCTACAGAAGGCAGAGACTGAAGCCTATATTTTTCTCATACTGCACACAGCACGTGCTCCATACTACCTCCCAGCTGAGTCTAGTCTAGTCTTCTTTTGCCTGTAGGTTCATCAGAAAGCTCCTAAGCATCTTGCAATGACAGTTCCTCTTTCCAACTCCTTTTTCTCAGATTCCTTCCCCCAACGGTGATCTCGGGGTGGGGGGCGCCCACCCTGTCCTGCCACTTTGCACACCTGTCAACTTGCATCTCAGGATAAGGTTCCCATTTGACAGACTCTGAGAACTCGCTGTCCAGGCAAAGAAACCTGTATGACAGTGAAGCCAACACAAACCTTATGTAAGCAAGCTGTCAGCAAACAGAGGAACAGGGGGACACTGACAGATTCCTGTCCCCAAAAAGAAACAAAGCAAAATAAAAGGAGGTAGAAAGCAAGGGACTGAGACGTGCCAAAAATGCTCCTGCTTGTCAAGAGCTTTACAGCTGATCGGAGTTCTGAAAGTATTCCTGAAGGCACGTGAATACGGCTGCACTCCCTCTCACCTGGGGATCTGAATGAACATCCACAGCCCAACTTGTCACTGAAATTACATCAGATGCTCCTGCAACCAGAAGAGTATATGCATGTATGTACACATAGACATGTATAGTTTACTAACAATATTTACGAGGACAGGAAAGTTTCCAACTTTTTTTTAAGTAAGACTATGGGAAATTTCTACCGAGAGTGGCTTGAAACCCCTGGCAGGTCACAAAAAGTTAAGGATCTCCCAGCTGCCCGAATTGCTGAAGATATCCTCGAAGATATCCTCTGTGGACTCTTGCTGAGTAGAAGAACCTTCTTCCTCTTGTCCTTACAGATTATTTGTTTATTGTCTGAATTTCGAGTTAAAAACCAAAAAGCAATACACACATCCACTGAAATGAATTTCTTTATATGACACCCCCAGGTCAAAGCCCCCACAACTGAGGGCAAGGGCAGAATTGGACGAGCACGTGGTAGAGAGAATGCACCGGTTCCCACACCACCTGACAGCCTTGGCTTCTTACCTTGGACAGGTCATTCCCCTTTGCATGCTTTTGGGCTCTTCTGACGCCAAATGCTCTCTTTGGGCTCTTCCCAGTCCGAGATCTCGTGAGGCTACGAGGAGTGGGGGGATTAGCTGGAGAAGCTGCCTGCACCTCTGGGTGTGGGGCCCAGGGCTGAGGGAGAATGTGGTGACAGGTAGGAAAAGCCCTCAGAGAAAAACTAAAAGTGCTGAACGGCAGACACTCTCCAGCTCTCCATGTTCCAAAATCATGGGCACCTAACTTTCTTTCTTCGGTGCTCACCCAGACACCCACCGCTGAGCTGACAGGAAGCAGAAGGGGCCAATGCTTTTCTGCCTGGGGACCGTGGCTGGGACAGAAAGGAAGGGAAGAGTGGAGTCAGCTTCATGAGCCAGTGAAATGGCAATGAACCCTGCAGGCCGATCTCCAGGCTGGCGTTGCCAAGGAGGACGATCCACTCAGTCAGACCTGGGCCAAGCCCTGGCTCAGACACACAGGCAAAAATAGAAAGGGGGTGAGAGAAGAAATGTGTTTACTTTTGTGATTTTCTCTCCTGTGCCTTCTAACAGCATTATCTCTCCACAAACTGGCAGCAACTGCTCCCAGGCCTGGCTTCCATTGATAAAGCCTCCCAAACGATTCACAGCCATAGGCAGCGCCTGGGCAGCTGGAAGGTGAGTTTGGAAGGCAGCAGAAGGGACTGAAAAGAGCGCTGGCCCAGGGCCTGTCGCTCACCGGAGAATCATGAAAAATCCTTCTCTGTGGCTGTGCAAAAGAAAGGGCTGACATCAGACAGAATCTCAAAATCTGTTCAGGTGTTTGAATTACATCTGTGGCGTCAGCCAGGGGTGAGGGCACCCTTCAAGGGGCATTGGCAATATCTAGGGACATTTTTGGTTGTCACAGCTCAGGGGGTGCTATTGCCATCTCATGACTAGAGGCCAGGGATGGTGCTGAACATCTGACAATGCACAGGACAGACCCCACTGCAGGGGACTATCTGAGGCTGAGAAATCTTGGTTGAGATTAAAGGAAGGAGAGTCAAAGGGAGGGGGACCGAAGGGACAGGAGTAACGAGAGAGGAGGGGTTAAAAACCTGTTTCTGGGTCATGGGGTATGCCTCAGTTAAGTGTCTTCCAAAGTCCTTTCAGTTTCCTTTGAAATTACAGGGTGAAGTTTAATAGTTTTTTTTAACAAGAACTTCTGTCTTATTCTTCAAATGCCAAGCCCCAGTGCAGCACAAAGATCCCCACTATAAGACACAGCAGAGACACAAATGTAAGCAGCTATTAAGCAAGCAGAGCTGGAAGGTGGGTGGTGGGGGCGCATGAAGGGACACAAGGGATGCTCGTGAGTCCATTTCTGTGAGTCAGTGTTTCTGATGTAACAACAGAGAATAATCACCGTAGGACCGGCAAGACGAGCTAGGCTGGGAGAGGGCAGAACTGACCTGGGGCCCTCGAGTCGGGAGAGGTGCGCGCCGGGTCGCCTGCTGCGACAGACTCAAAGGCAAACGGAAGGGTTAAACAACCGGGGCATGTCCTTTCTGCGCCAGTCCACATTAAGTCACTGGGCAGTTATTACAAATAGTTACCTGTGGTTTCCAGTGGGGGAAGCAAGCACACTCCAGTCAAGGGGTTTTGGAGAAACAGGTGCAATGAAGTCATGGTCAAACAATTTATTTACTGTAAACTTTAGACTTTGCTCAGGAAAACAACGGAAGCTCCCCCTGAAATCCCTGCCTGCAACACCCTGTTTCAGCAAATAAGAGGAACCGGGACAGACCATGTTCACAGCTGTATGGTCCAAGATACTCCCGAACCTCCATTCCCAGGGTGCGAGAAGGAAGGTCTCCTTCAGATACAAATTACCAGCAGCAATATATTACTCTTAATACTTGACCAATGAGGTAGATACACAGAAAGTCATCAACACATAGCAGCCCCAGGTCCTCTGGGACTGAAGCCCTTCAGACATAAACTTACAAGTTCCATGCAAAGAGGAACTGAACTGTACAATCGCTCAACGATCACTCAAATACATTTTCTCTTTTTTTTACAGCTTAAAAAAATAAAAAAGGGGGCAGGAGGATGTTCTTCCTCCTGCACATCTCTATACAGTTTTATTCTAAGTTTATTACACTCAAGTTAAATAGTCTGTTTAGTGTCTTTTGAGGGGTGGGGGGGCCTTAAAAAGTAGAAAAACCACATCAGAGCAGTGAGTCATTCGTACTAGAATTCCTCCCTTGTGAATCAACACTATCGTTAGGCACAGTACCTTGATGGCTCACAAAGTCTTCTCTGCCTGAGGCATCATCGCACAGCAGTTTGTGGTCTTTCTCCTGGCCCAGGTGACAGCCACTCTGCTCCACTGTGTAGTCAGATTTGTCATGGCTGTTGCTGGAGTAGCCATTCCCATAGGCCTTCAGAGAAGACCTGCGCAGGCACAGGAGCTCCTGGAAGGCAATCCTGAAATCTGGGCTCCGGCAGTAGATGAGGGGATTGAAGGCAGAGTTGACGTAGCCCACCCAGTTCAGGAGGATGTAAACTTCCTTGGGGATGAGGTTATCCTGGATCACGTGCACAATGTTGACGATGAAAAAGGGCAGCCAGCACAGGGTGAAAGTGCCCATGATGATGCCTAAAGTCTTGAGGGCTTTGTGTTCCTTCAAGTAGAACTTGGAGGACCTGCGATGTCCATGCCAGCTCCTCCCATCCTGCTCCACTTGGCTGAGGTTTTGGGCGTGGAATCGGCCCTCGGATTTGTCGATCTTCTGGAGTTGTCTTTTGGCCACCCGGAAGACCCTGGAGTAGACGAAGATCATGACCACCAGGGGCAGGTAGAAGGAAACGATGGAGGAGGCAATGGCATAAGCTTGGTTCGTGAAGAAGTCACAGCAGGTCTCCCGCTCATAGCACTTGATGGCTTCTTGGTGGGTGGCCCGATACCAGTGCATCTGGATGGGCAAGAAAGAGGTAAGGCCTGACACGATCCACACCATCAAAATGACCACCCGGGCCTTATTCTTGGTCAGCAGACTCTGGTACTTGAAGGGTGACGTGATGGCAAAGTAGCGATCCACCGCAATCACACACAGGGTCTCAATGCTGGCCGTGACGCACAGCACGTCAATGGAAGTCCAAAACTCGCACCAGAAATTGCCAAAAGTCCACATTTTCATGAGAATGTGGCTGGCCCCAAAGGGCACCACTGCCAGGCCCATGACCAGGTCAGCGCAGGCCAGGGAGGTGATGAAGTAGTTGGTGACCGTCTGCAGACGCTCGAACCTGGCAATGGCTGTGATGACCAGCACGTTTCCAAACACGATGGCCAGGACGATGAGTGACATGACAATGGCCATGCTCACCACCCATGCTTCGTTCCGTTCCTGTGTGATGTCTTGGTCCGGCGCATGGCTTCCGTTGGGCGCCAGCAAAAAGTCGGTGCGGTTCCCGGGTTGCCCCATGACGCGCAGGCTGGCAGGTGAACGCGCGGGCTGCCGGCGCACTGGCCGAGCCTCAGAGGACTGACCTCCGGTGGGGCGCTGCGGACAGCGAGGGGATTCCTGGAAGCCTCATTCAGCGGCCGTGGGGTGGGTGTGGTGGGGGCGCGTCCTGCACTCAGCTTGTGGGGTTCTCTGGGCTCACGGTATCCGTCAGTCCCAGCCTGCGACCTGGAGCAGCCTCCTCGGAGTGCGCGCTGCCCGTTATGTGCACAGGACTTTAGAGGAACTGCCTCCTTGGTGACGTGTGGGAACTTTCAGCCAATGGGGCACAGGCAGCCCCAAAGAAACGACGCACCCTCCCCTTCCCGCCCCACCCCTCCCTCTCCCGCCCATTCCTGGGGCTGGCCCGGGCGGGGCCCTAGCTGGCTCCCGAGGGCTGGAGCTGGGACTGGCGAGCATACCAGCCAACCCGGGAGCTTTGGGCTCCTCTGTAGCTGCTACCTGTCTGCCCTGGGCGCCTGTGCGGCCTGAGGTCTCAGGGCAGAGGGCGGCACGCAGGCACTCCCCTGCATTCGGAAACAGAGACGAGTGCTCACGGAGACACGCACGGACAGGCACACATGCTCCCCGACGGACAAGCTCAGGCTTATACGGAACCACAGCCATCGACACCGAGACACACCCGTCCAGCACTCCGACAAACACCCTGGCTCTCGCGCACCCAGGCTGACAGGCGCAAAGTCACCCCTGCCCAACAGAGAGATAAACACAGCGGCACCCAGAAGCGGAAAGGCATGGGCGCACACGGGAAGAAGTAAACACACAGTGCTCCCTTGGAGGCAAGCGGAGCGCCCCATTCAGGTTCTCCAAAACCTTCATCCATGCACCCCGACCTCCACCCTCACACACGCACAGGGACACAGACATATTCCCTTTCAAACATTTGGCAAGACCACAGGAGGTGACTTCAACGGCTGCCGATTCCCTCAGCACGGTGGCTATCAAGTACTTTGGGTTCCCTCCTTGGAAATCTGCAGGCATTGAGACATACAATTTCACCCTTTGGGTTTCATTTGGAGCCAAGGTATAGTAGATGCATGGGTGTGTTTTGGAATGGAAAGAGAAAGTTGTATGCTTTAATCTTTAATTTTTGGGAGTGTGGCATCCCTCCCTCATTTTTCTGTTGGAATGAAAATGCGTTGAAAAATGGAATCATTTTCTTTTCAACCTCAGTTTCTTCGGTAATCCCATTGCAATTAGAAAAATGCTTTCTTTCATCTGCTGTAAATTGGCTGACCTGTTGGGTTGAGGCATTTGAAATCGCCACTATTCTGTAGCTTCAGACTTTGAAAAATGGAAAATTTTATATGGTTCAGATTATTACGAATGTTAGCATTAAGAACACTTTGAAGCCACAGAAAGCCAAAGATAATTTCCCCTTAAAAAAGAAAAAGTCAGACCAAGCCTTCCAACTAGGGTCTTTGTCTATAAAATACTGTCCTTTGCATCTGGCACATGACTTTACTGTTAAAAAGAAATTCATTGTCAAGGTTTGATTTCACATGCATTTCAGTGTCTTTGAAAAACTGAAAGTATTTCATGCAGTGTAACCAACATACTTTGTTGATTACATAATAATATAACAACGGCTAACACGTATGGAACATTCTGCTATGTGCTTTTCATGCATTATTCCACTCAATTCTTCTCACAGTCCCACAGTGTGTGTGTGTGTGAGGGGGCTGAGACTATTTTTAGCTTGATTCACAAATGGGGCTCAAAGAGAAATATAGCCTGCCCAGGGGCACAGGGCCAGCAAGTGCCAGAGGCAGAAGCTGAACCCAGGTCTGCCTGAGTCTAAAACCCATCTGTTAATTTTGGCAGTGTTGTGTCATCGTATGCAGAAAGGGATGGAGCTGGGAAGAAGCACTACAACTGGAATTGGAATGCCCAGGTTTGAGACCCCCCTGTCTTAGAACTTCCTAGCTCACTTCCTTTAGGCAAATCGAAAAGATGCCGCCTGGTCTCCTGCATCTCTTAATGCGGAATAAAGTCACTTCCGCTGGGCTGAGTGAGACTCTAATGATACAATAAAGGTGAAAACGCTTCGCACATATAAATGCCGCACACGTGTGAGTTATAAATGCCACACAAATATGGGCTATAAATAAGACTTACATAAATTACTTAGCAGTTCAGAAGATGTTGTTAGTCTTCTCCAGTAGAACAATAAAATACTTCACTCTGGAAGCAAAGCCCAGACACATGATTTAACCTACGTGCCCCCTCTAGTTCCCTCCACCAACAGAAATGAGTTTTGCAAGACCGATGCCTTAAAAAACAAATAGTTCCCATAAAAGCCACAAATATTAATTAAGGATTTATTATGTTCACATAGTTTTCAAAATATACCACCTCATATTTGTGTTTTCCAAAATTGGTTCTGGTATGATGCATTTTAGGAAGGGGCGGTGTCAGTTATGCAACAATGTTTCTTTAAATATACATCTACCCCAAATTGTGGAACTGAGTCATTTAAAACATCCTTCCTGTTTGTGAAGCTATGGAATAAATAAGCGTGGTGTTCGACCTTCCCGCAACAAAAAAGAACAAAGAAAGTCCTTTTAGGACAAGCCTTAATTGATCATCTAGATATATACATAAGTCACTTAAAAATTTGACTTTGGATATTTTGGGAAACACCTTTTTAAAAACCCACAGACACTGAAACACTCAGGGAAGGCTGCTATGTCAACGAGGAAGCTCCAGGCCTCTGCCCACCAGCCTTGCCAAACGTGCAATCTCTCTGTCCTCTCTCCCTCTCCCTCCTTCCCTCCCCCTCTCCCTCTCTCCCCACCATCACCACGTTGGTAGGAATTTCAAGGTGTCTTCACGCCAAGGCCAAGAGTCTTCTCCTGACTTGTTTTTGAATTACAGGATTAGAGAGAGGTGGAATGGGAAACAGTTTTAATAGATCATATAGCTTATTCCCCGCACTCCAGTTTGCAAATGAGGAAACTAAAGTGCAGAAATAAGAAGTGTCCCGTTGAAGGTGGCAGGGCGGGTTAGCGGTTCAGGTCTGCTCCTAGCGTCACGGGTTCTGACTGCCCGGCACTGTCCCGGCATTTCTCAGCAGAGGAGTTTGGCTGGAACTGCATACCGGGCTTGCAGCCTTAGAGAGTTAATGCTCAGTTGAACTGGAAAGTTCTTAGCAAACTAAATACACTTTTATCTGATGTAAGAAAAAGCAGGCGCTTTTTATGATGATTGATAGTGCCTAATTACATATTTTGTCAATCCCTTAAGACATTGATTTGTCATTTCCTGAGTGCCAAACAGGAAAAAAAAAAAACACAAACAAACCGCATTTTGATTTACCGAGTGAATGTTTGAATAAGCGTAAGGCTGTGTGGTGCCAGAGAATGTCCTCACACCAGTGGCTGGATAGCCAAACCTTATTCCGGTCTTGGTTTAGACAAGATTCCTTCCACCTTTATGACCCTCTGAGCAGAGAAGCATCCTTAGATTTCTCTCTAAATGACAGTCTTTAATGTCTATCTTTACTATTATCTCTGGACAGTTTCATCTCATGAAATTTGCATGAAATAAGATTAAATGCATGTAAAACGCTTAGCATACTGCCTTGGAAAAGAGATAACTATTACTGTTATTATCTTCTTTTTGAATCAAAATGCATACATAGAATGCATATTTGTCTTTTTATATCATACTGTGAAAGGACGCTTTGAACGTGGGTAATGAGTAATTTATTTTAAATCTGAATTGCTGTGAAAAAGAATGAAACGGAAACAAAATTTGGTTCCTTAGACAGGAGAATTATAATGAAAATCACCATTATCACGAAGTTACAGAGCTGGGTGGAATGTTAGCGGTGTTTGAATGAAGTATCTCACAGCCTAGTCCGCCCTTTACACAATGCAGCCACTGAACTCTTAGACAGCCATCTCTAGGGCCGGCAAGCTCACCAGTACTTGGCAGTGTGTGTTTCTCCAGCCTTTCAGATGCAGAACTGAAATCCATCTCCTTAGAGCATCTACCCATAATCTTAAGTCTGCCCCCTTGAGGCCACGCAAAACAAATCTCTACCCTCTTGGCCAAGACTGTCCTTGAAACTTTTGGGGTAATTCCCTAGAGTTCTCCTGAGCTCTCTCTTCTCCAGATTGTTCCTTTGGGTCTAGGGTCTCCTTTACCATCATGGCAGGTCTCTAACATTCATTCTTGGGTTTGTCAATGTCTAATCTTACCGTCAATACCTGGAATGATCCGAGGACAAGTCATGCAATGATCAATTTACAATCACCTTGGCAACCACAAAGTCAGCAGAGCAACCAGGAAATCTTTCAGAACAGCTGATTATACCAGATGGATTTAATTTCCTGCTATGCTAGCGTTTTATGAGAGACGTGCTAATAAGTTCTCCACATCTCAGGGGGACTGAACAAAGGGAGATGGTATTAAATTAAAGCAGGAGAGACTTCAGTTGGTCACAGGAAAGGCTCATTGGCCTGTGGAGGTTCAATCATTCAAAGGGGCTAAACCCTAGTAGCTTTTCTCAGTTGGGTTTTTGCAAGAGAATTAAACCCTACGGAAAATTATTTCAGTGACTGTTCTTCCCAAAGCTGGTACATAGCTATTACCTTTCTAGGGTTATATAGAGAGATGATGTCATTCTATACAATGTAATGGATGCCTTAGGGCACAGGGCTGCATTCTCTTGCTGAATCTGAGCACATGGGTTGGATGGGATCTCCTTCAGACAGGAGAATGGTGAGTGTGTCTTGAATGCTTTTTTGTAGCCGAAGCAGTTCGGGGCAGAGGAGAGAGAAGGGATGGCAATCTGTAGAACTAGATGCTGGTCCCAGAACAACTATAATGTTTTATAAAACTTTAAAGAAGCCGCCTCCTGTTTTTGAGCCTCACTCTTCATCCATGCCACAGGAGCCTGAGTGTGGGCTAGGCAGCATCCACGGGCCTCCCTGTTCCAACCTGCACAAGCCTGCGGTGGGCCGGAAGCACCTTGGGGGCCACTGAGTAGGTAAGTTCCTGATTCCAAAGAGCTGCTGAGGACTTGGCCAGCAGAAACCATCCGTGCCCTGCCCGACAACTCGGCTGCGGTGTCCCTTTCCCCACAGTCCACCATTGTGATCCCTGCAGACATATTTCTTCTAAAACTCAAATACATTTATTTTTAAAGAAAACGTTGAGTTTTACTTCCATTACTGCACGTGGAAAAACTGGTGTCATCTGCCATAAATAGAGGTAACCATGAGCATGAAACAATGCCAATTATTTCTAGCCAGATTTCGTTGCCTGCCAAACCTCCGAACCCAAGGCCTGCTCTCCTTCTATTGGAAAGGAAGATTAGCAAGTCCTGGGGAGATGCTAATGGTATTCTAGCACTAAATGGGACTTCCTCCACCTGCTTTACGAGATTGAAAAAAAAATTAAAAAGGAAACAACTCCTAATTAGCACACTGTGATTTAATACAGTGTCACTGAAGGATGTAAAAGAATTGCATTATAGCTAAAGGTACCGCAGCCCTAGACTGGGGCTGATGAGACGCGCTGCTGTGACAGAGAGAGGGCTTTGGAGCCAGATGGTTCCGGGTTCCAGTGCTGGTTCTGCCCTAAACCAGCTGAGTGAGTGCCTCAGACAATAAGTTTAAACCCCACGGGCCCCCAAGTGTTCCTGGGTAAAATGAGGCCAGGCCTCCTTGGGTGGTTGCTGGGGGAGTGGAAAGAACGTGTGCGAAACGGGGTTTGCAGAGAAGAGGGAGCCAAGAGACCTGACGGAGAACAGATCAGCATTACTGGGAATGGCTGAGAGTGGGGGGAGGAGTCGAGGAGTGGAGGTCATTGCCACTCAGGGGTGAGTGAGCAGTGGTCTGAGAGTCTGCAGGAGGACAGGAAGGGGTGGTGAGTTCCGGCACAGCCATATCGAATTTGAGGTTTTGGTTGGACATCAAAGTGGAAGTTAAAATATCTTGGTGATTAGGCCACAGGTTTAAAGTGACGGATCATTACAGAGGAAGTGTTCCCTGAACAGTGTGCTCTCAGAGGGTGCTTCTGATGGCTAAATGACGTCATGCATTTCAGGAACGCAGCACAGTGTTTCAAAAAGAAAAGTGTTGAATATTGCCATCATCATCATCATCCCTATTGTCATCATTACCATCATTCTGGATTCCTAGCATGGCTTCAGTTTCAGGACATTACATTTGTTTCTCAAAGGGCAGTGCTTAAATGAACAAATAAATTGGTCCAATGTGGGGGAATCCTTTGTGAGCATCAAACAACTGATGGTAGTAACCGTGGGGGTGGAGTTTGGGGAGGTGTCTGGGTGGGGTTTCCTGATAGCCGCTGCTGAGACGAGGGTTTGCATACGAGCGATTGATGGAGGGAAGGGCTCCTAAGAGGAATGAACCAGTGGGGCAGCGAGAGAAGCCAGCATGTGGTTTTGAAGACCCAGGCCCGCCTGGCCCTGTGAGGAGCTTGGGTGCAACTCTGGAGCCACTTGCTTGGTGTGACATCCTGCTTCCTCCAATTCTCAGCTGTAAAACCTAAGCAAGTTACTTATTCTTCCTGTATCTTGATTCTTTCCCCTGTAAATTGGGGTCACTGATGATAGTGTATCACAACCTCATGGCGTTGGTATGAGGACCACATGAGTTAGTGGCTGCAAAGTGGCTTGACCTGGCCTGGCACATAGTAAATGCTAAATTAATTATTGATATTAAGCCAAGAGAAGGCAAGAACAGGTCTGGTAGCTACGGCCCTCAGGAAACCTCCCCCAGGGAAGAGGGCTGAAGGTCTCCTAACTGCAAGCTGCCCAGTGCTGAAGTGTAAGAAAGGTCTTCCTGAAAGGAGAAGTGAGAGGACCAGCAGCATCTGCTGGTGAGGAGGGCCAGGAGGAGGACTAAAGGGGAAACGGGAGGAGTTAAAGCGACTGTGGCTGCAAAGAAGGGCAAAGGAAGAGAAGCGCCTTTGGTCTTCTCAGAAAAGGAAATAGGGCTGGCCTCTCTTCCAAGCAGCGCCTTCTCCTGGGTGGCACCGAGGGACAGGTCTCTCTGGGCCTCACAGGACATCCAGATGACCCAGCTAAGTGGGCAGTGAAACACTCCCCGGGCTCTGACGAAGGAGAATGCTGTCCCAGCACTGACAATTCCTGTGTGACTGCCCCCCACGCCCCGGTCCTTGATTTCCTCCTCTGTCAAGCGAGAAGTTTGAATGAAGTGATTGCATTGTAGCCAATCTGTGGCTGCTAAGGGGTCTGAAAGACAATAGGCATTGTTTTTATTTATTATGTGTATTAAACACCAGGAGCTGGGCTTAGCAGTTGCATACATACTCTCTTATTCTCCTTTCTGTACAACATTTCCAGGTAGGCACAGATATTCCCGTTTTACAGATGAGAAAACGAAAAGCTTAAAGAAACTGAGCAGACTGTCCTAGGTTACATAGCAAGTAAAAGGAGCACAAGGGCCTCCAGCCCAGCTCTGCCTGATCAGAAGGCTGCCTCTGAGCCGCTCACTGAGGAGTCGGGTGCCGAAGACCAGACTCAAAGGGAGGGCTGCGTGCTCAGGCTGCCAACGTGGAGGCGCCCTGGTGGTTGGGGTCTCGCAGCTGAGTTTTACCAGACTGCTTAGGCAAAAAGGTAGCAGTTTCCTATCACTTATGGGAAAAAGGCTAAATGACCGAGATTTTGGACCAGGCTTCCTGGTCATGATTTCTAAAAGGAAAGGGAAGATGTTAGAGGTTGTAAGTCATTGGTCATGAGCTTCTAGGCTTTGCCCATGCCTCCTCCTCCAATCACAGCACTACCCCACTCGACCCACTTTGCTTCCTGCGCTGGCCCTACCCCACCCCAATACACACACGTCCACACTGTGTCTCACCGACCATGGAGAGGAATAGGCGCCTCTTCTCTATGCTGTCACCCCCTCGAGTAGCACTGACCTATTATTTTCCTTTCCCATTTCACTTGCTAATGCTACTTTATTCATCTCTGTATTCCCAAGACCCCAACACAGGGTCCGGAATACAGAAGCCAAGTACTGCACATGCATGTGTGTGCATGCACAGACCCCTAAATATTCTGAAAATATGGGGCTGAGGGGTATAAAGACTTGAACAAGGCAGGGTCCTTGCCTTGAAGAGACTCACAGGCCCGTGGTGGTGCATAAACTTGACTTCCAGGTAATGGAGTAATGCCTTATTAGAACTAGGAACTTGATATTAGGGGCAAAAGAGGACTAATCCAGAACCCCATCTCCCCACATAAACATTGGGAAGAAGGCAGAGAGAAGACTTCCAAAAGAGCAGGTGAGCATCGGATAACAAGGAGGCTTTAGCCAACGGATGAATGGGACTTTTTTCAAATAAGCTGGAACAACTGTTTGGAGAGTTATTTGGCCGAATTTATTAAAAGATAAAATTGACATAGCCATACACCTAGCAATTCCATTGCCAGAAATTTGTTTATTAAATGTCAGCTGTGTGCACAAAGATACAGTTTCAAGAAATTAATTGCTCAGCTCTGGCCCGTGTGGCTCAGTGGGCCGGATCATCCTCACGCTAACCAAAAGGTGGCAGGTTCGATTTCCGGTTGGGGCACATACCTGGGTTGTGGATTTGGCCCTCTCTTCCCTCTATCTAGAATCAATAAGCATATCCTCGGGTAAGGATAAAAATTTTTAAAAGTACTGATTGCTCAGAAAGGGGAAATGGTTAAATAAGTTAGAGGAAACCCATACAGTGGGATGTTTAGTCATTGAAAGGATGAAGTACATCCAAATGTGCAGACTCAGGAAGTTGTTCGTACTTTGTCATGAAGGCGTAAAAGCATATTGTATGCCAGATTGTGTAAAATGATTCCATTTTTGTTATGTTAAAGAAGCGTACACATGAGAATTTTTAGGCCTCTTGTTACTACTTCTAGATCGGCTTAAAGCCCTAAGGGGATATCGTTAGCAGTTAACCACGTAACATAGTGAAGATAAGAAGGATAATTATGATATGACAGGGTGTGCAATAAAGGCTATGAATGAGGTATAACAAAAGTTATTTGCATTCCACTGTGGGCTGGCCTTGTTAGTTATGTGAAGGGAGATGAAAAGGAAACACAGAAAGTTTCATTCAGTTGGTGGCCTTGAAGGATGGATGTGACGTTGGCAGTCAGGGATGGAAGGAGGGACAGCCACCCAGAAGAAACAGTGTGAACAGACGTGGACGTGGGACACTTTGAACTGTTCCAGGAGAGCTACGACACCTGGGATATGGGGAGGGAACAGTCCAGTGTGAGCTGGGGTATATATTTGAATGCCTCTGAGTGCTGGCATACAGAGCTGAGGCTTAAGAAAAATCATGGAAGGTGGTGGGATAGATCATAAAGAACTACAATCCAGAAAAGTCATCGGTGGGGTAAATGAGGCAATTTCACAGAAATGTGCCCAGCGGCCCTGTGCCAAGAAGGCAAATGAGGAAGCAATCTGGCAAGGGGTGAGGGTGTTGCAGGGCTGCTCCTGTGGCTCTTTGCTGGGTGCCAGGTCTTCACTTCCTCCTTGGTAAAGCAGAGCTCTACTCCTACCTGCCTGCTGCAGATGCACACATGTGCATGGCCTGTGGGGCTGGCTGACAGTGAAGCTTCATTCCTACGGGAGCTTGTGGTTATTACTGCGACAGAACACAGGACAGTCCTCAGCCAGTGGAGAGTTCAGGTGGACATAGGGAGGAGGATGTGGCAAGCTGTGGCACAGATGGGGTGATCACCTGGGCAGTGAGGGATGCAAGGGGGTGAGTGGCTTCCCATGCAAAATCCATGAACAAAACTAGAAAATGAAATGTCTTATAAAAACTCAGGGTTGGAACAGATGTGAGATGGACATTTACTGTCCCGTGAAAATTTTAACTGCTGGGAATTTCTTTTGGAGATACACGCACACACATATGGAAAGGATAGACACTGCAGTATTGTTTACTGTGGTAAATAACCTAAATGTTTATAAAAGGAAGATGGCTAAATTAATTAATATATTGCTATGCTATGGATTTTTATGCAAACACAGGTGTTTGTAGCAGCTTTATTGATAATTGCCAAAACTTGGAAGCAACCAAGATATC